GCACGTGCGACGATCAGCTGGCCAGCATGCATGATCATGCAGGAAAACTGAAGACCAGCTCTTCCAGTTTCCGGCACTGCCGCATGCACGAAGGCCAGCTGATTGTCGAATGCGCACCATAAACCCAGAAGAGGAATGGGTGATGACATGCGTGCCAGGCGACATGGCTCCATGTGCCACTTCGGCCATGCGTGCCATAGGTTCGCCATCACGGTGATAGGTAATTCTTTTTTAAACTGAAAACATCTGTTGGCCGTGATTTTCATTTATCTTGCCGCAAATGCTCTCTATATTAGCAATCGGAATGGTCACAATTTCAGGACCAGTGAAAGATCAATCAGTAGAACATTATTTAGGCTAGAGGTAAAACAATGGTGCCCCACAGATTTGCTACTTGATAGAAATAACTAGCAGCACCGCATTAAGACATGGGGTAGCATCAAGAGTAGAAAAATTTGTCAATAAGGTCTTTTTTTTTTTTTTTTTTAAAAAGCCGGTTTGAAATTTAGTTCATTCTATCAAGCATCTCAATAACAAATTATTTTAAGGGGGAAACTGTTTTCCAAGTCTATTGATGTACAGCTCTATGAAAGAACAGTTACCCATCAGCAAGCTAACTTATGGTATTTCTGCGTTCCCTTTTTCTTTTGTATTTCATATGACGTTTTCTCTTGCCATATTTTTCTCCTCTAGTAAATAGAGCTCTGTTTCAAACACTTTTGTTGAGCAAATTGCATTAGAGTGGATGGTGCAGATATCCATTAGAGTTTATTTATTGTGATACTGTTCAGATCTCACACTTATAAATATATGATGGGCCTTGAGTTTGTAGAAATGTAACTTACATATTTTATTACACTTTTCTGTAAACCTTGAGAAGGATATCATCAAAGCATTGCTCTTAACAGCAATCTAAACTAAGATACATAAAATCTACAGCACCATTATTTTTTAATATGGCAAGGAAGCATGGCATTTCTGGATAGTTTGAAAGGTTTGCTGTCACCATAAACACATACCAGAATGAAACATTAACAAGTTGAAGATACTACAACTGAATATGGACCTAGAGTTGAATTCCTCTGAAACACTGTTATGCAAGCAGACTATATTAATGTGAATTTTTTTCCCTCAAGGCAGCTAGATTTGCCTCATTCTCCGCATTCTCCTTTCTTGACAGGCAAGTATTACTGTATTCTCTAGGCTACAAAACAAAAGATTCTTGTTATTTCTCTTTGTGGCTTATGTCTGATTTCATCTTGTTGCTCTAAGGTGGGACAAACTGTGTCTTTTCTCCAATTGAAAATCCCAATTTGTTAAATTTACTGTTTCAATTTAAGTTCCAAGATGCTCAAATCAGAGGAAACTATTATGGCCCAATACTTCTTACCTTTTACAATAATTCCCCATTACAATTATTTTCCCTTCATTATGGCTCATAGCTATGGAAGATATATGGTATTGGAAAGAGTGCTTTCTAGAATAATCAATTCACTCACTAAGGGGAAGGGGACTGACACTAATTTCCATCTCTAAAGACAGGTATATTTCCCTATCATCTATTTCATTCTCACAATTTGCAATACGGAGTGAGAAACTTCAAAATATGTCTACCAAGTTTCACATTAACTGTTACTTGGAATCTGTTTTGTGAATCTCTTGAATGGATTCCAATGCATTAGGGCAGGGATGGGGAACTATGGCCCCACCTCTGCCATAGGACTTGTGGACTTCAACTTCCAGAATTCCCTAGCCAGCAACCCCCTAAGGCAGGGATGGGGAAGTATGGCCCATTTAGGACTTGTGGACTTCAACTTCCAGAATTCTGGGAGTTGAAGTCCACTAGTCATAAAAGGGCCATAGTTCCCCATCCCTGCCTTAGGGGGTTGCTGGTTGGGGAATTATGGGAGCTGAAGTCCACCCAGCTTCAATTCGCTAAGGTTGAGAAACACTTAGGGAACAAATAATGAGGAAGTCCTTAAATCCAGAATTTAAACCAATAAAAGGTTGTGTTCACCGATTTGTGAATATTCAGAGTTTTCTTCTGATAACAAAGACATGAGAAGTTAGAAGCTCTATTTTTTCCCATTTCAGCCTTTCCAATGAAGATTTATGAGAGAAGTTGATGGAGTTGGCTGAAATGGCAAAACTGACTACTCTGATTAAAGAAAAGAATATAAGTACTTTTGTTTCCACATGGAAACCGCTTCTGAATTTCATGCTTGATGTGGAAAAGAATGTAACTTTGACCTTGGGTTTTACAGATTAGATTGATAGATTTTTATAGAGATGACTTATTTATATTATTATGGAAAAACAAAAAGTTGTGAGTTGAAGTTATATTTTACTGCAACAGAGAGAGTCAATGGTCAATGCTTCTTTATCTTTTCCTTTTCCTACCCTTCCCCTCTTCCCCTTCCTCTTTCCCCTCCTTCCTTAACTTTCCTCTATTTACTTTTATGTTTCGTATTTTATAATATTTAATCATTTAATTAAAAAATATTTGAAGCCAATGAAGATTCATGAAGGAACGGCTTTGCACTACAGCTAGAGGTAATCAGAAGAGCAGGAAGGAAAAACATCTTAGATTTGGGGAACTTGTACCCTGAAATCAAGAACTGGGCAGAATACAGCTCTCTGGGCTTGCATCTCAGAATTTAGTGTATCACAAAACACGACTTGTAACAAAATTTAAACTGGGCACTCAAAGGAGGTTATTTTCATACGGTATTAAGTCAGGCGGCCAGCAACTTGCAAAAGTCTCAAGAGGGAGTGTGAATCTATATCAGGGGTGTCCAAACCTTGGCAACTTTAAGACTTGTGGACTTCAACTCCCAGCATGGCTGGCTGGGGAATTCTGGGAGTTGGTCCAAAAGTCTTCAAGTTGCCAAGTTTGGACACCCCGATCTAAATTATTATGAGTTCAGAATGTAAAGCATGCAATGTCCGATCCTACTAAAAACAACAAATGCAAGTCAATGATAAGAAGCTCCCCACCTCCAATTTTAATTATTTAAAACTGTTGCTGGAAATTGGATCTTTGTGGCTACTATGCAGGGGACAAACATTTGGCCACAGTTCTTTATCAAAACTCCCATCAGCATAAAACCCCTCTGCTTTGTCCTATGGCCAAACAAAAACACAATTACCCATTTTATCAATGTCTTTTGTTTCTCATATTTAGAGCCATTATTTTCTAATGTCTAACATATATTAGTTACTCCATAGCTAACAGCTCTCACAGCAGTGTACAATAAAAGTGCAAATAAAATCTGTCAAATCAAAGCAAGGTAAACAAGCAATTAAACCATCAATTAAATACAGCAAAGCCTGAAACTAGCACAGGAAAAACTAGAGCTGCCGCAGAGAGCAAACCAGTTAAAATATAACATAGCAGCCCAAATGCCAGGCAACTAAAAAGCCTGAAAATAAACTTCCTCTCCCTGTAACACATCCATAATCTCTGGGCTCTCTGTATTACAAACTTGACCAGTAAAAAACAACAACATTCCTTTTAGACATTTTTCTTATAAAAGACTGGCTACAAACTACCAAATTATACAAGCAAATGAACAGATCTCACAATGTATTTCTGATTATTAGACCTATATGCATCCACTGCACCAAAGAAATAACAGAAATCTGGCTTGGTTCTTCTTGCAGTGTGGACTAGAAATAGGCTGAGCTCTGCTCAGTGCTTGTTGATGCACAATAGTGTTTAAGATTTTTGACTGCACCAAATGCCTTGCTGGATAAATAAAGCAACAGCTCACTTGCTCCCTCCCAATCTCCCTGATTCTTTCAGGAGGGGTGCAAGAAGACCTAACTGTTTTAGACCTAAGTATTTATGGATGCAAAATTAAATGTACTTTATTGCCAAAGAAGAAAAGCAAAATTTTGGAACAGCACTTGATGTCTAAGTCAAAATCAGGGCTGAATTAAAATTACTATACTGACCTGCTAAGGTTACTGTAAAAGCAATATTAGTCTAGCATAACTTAAAATCAGAAAGAAAAACTGGACAGGTCTTACAGATTCTGACTTTCAACTGCAAAGCTTAAATGTCAATGTTTTTTGTGGAACATGAAACCATGCCACTTTGCAGATTGTAGTACTTCTCAAGCACAAATTAATGGAATTAAAGGAACATTTCTTAAAATGCAAAGTGATGCCCGAGATATAAAATAAGATATAAAAAGGCTACTTTCTTAAAATGCAAAGTTATGCTACACGCAAATTCATCAAATTTACAGACTCCAATAATATCTATTAGTAGAAAACATTCCATATGAATGTTTTCATAAGAATTGGCTACTTAAAGCTAATTTCTCAGGTGAAAAGAAAAATGACCATCTCAAAGGATATATGTGATCTCCTTGAAATAATGGAAAAAAACCCAGCATGAATTACTGGAGAGCAATTCATCTTTTATACAAGAACATGTGGAAAGGCGGAGGTTCTACTTATGTGGAGTAAAATAGGCTGTCTGTGATAGTAATGTAATTAAATGACTGAAAGGAAGTTGCACTGCTTGCCACACAATGTATAGCTTATTACTGTATCATTCCATAAACTGTTTCTCTTGTTTTCCAAACTGTGCTTCGCTACTGATGTGAATAGGCTCTACAAAATACTCTACAAGAATAGTGTTAATCCAGGTTTTAAGATTAAACAATTGATGCCAGCCCCTAAAATTCTTTTTTTGCCATCACATTTTCATGCCGTTTGGGCATTTCATCAGTAATTAGTATCACAGCTCTTGAATTAAGAGAAATGAGTTGTTCTACTCGTTTTCAGTTAACCTCCCTAAGGTAGGGCTTAACATACAAAAAAACATATTCTGGCACACAAATAAAGTACTTTAGTGGGCTAAAAGAGTGTTACGTGCTTATTGGGTGGCTGTTTACAGTAGCAAATGATTTACAGCTTGTTCATACAATGTTTTACCATTTAAAAACACATACGACATTTTTCCGAGAATGAAATATCTGAGATGCATGTGTGTGAAACAACATTTTATTAATATTCTACTAAAGAATGTATTCCCATTTGTAAATTTTATAAAGTACCAATTTCAGCACATTCACTTTTATTTAGGCCAAGAATTCTGTTAATATTTTTCTTAGTGACAATGTATTTAAGATGAACATTAAAAAAAAAAAAAAGAGGGTACACGTAGTCATCTAGTTGCAAAATTATGCTTCCAGTCATTCCGAAGGCTTGAATAAAAGTATGAGAGAAATGGATGATATCATCACTGCCCTTCAAAGAAATTTTGAGAAACTGCATTAATTGGATTTTGGAAATGAAAATCTCAACAGCTGCAGTTTCAAAGGGGAGAAATACATATATTATTTTGTTCTTTGGTTAATTTTTGTTTCTGCATCATGTAACTAAGAAAAAGAGTTAGAAATCTGGATAAGGAAATGCAACATGGTTCTTTATGTCACATTAGAGTTTAGATTGTTCCCAGTGTTACGAATCCTTACATTTATGCCCAAGATACAAAAAGGCAGTTTTTAAAAAATATTTTCTATGAAAATCAGAATCTATCCAGCAATATAGAATGGTGCCCAACTTCAAGGTTTGTTCATTATTATTTAAACACATTTCCAGCTCTGTATCAGCTCATCATTTCTGTACTGCTTGATTCTGATACACCCTCACAACGCAAGGTTTCAGACATATCTCTGCGGAAGATGGACATATTCTGGGTGAACCTGTAATCAAAGAGTAACATGTAAAATATCTTTCCTGTGAAATAGTTTAGAATAATATAATCTGATCCCTCAAACAAAAAGTGACAGAATTCCAAAAACAAAGATACAGATGTCTTTTTGGGCATCTATTATAAAATGATCAGAAATTATCAGTTACTGACACTGGCACACCATTTTTTCACACCAGCCATAGCCATCTCATTGTTTCCGGAACACCCTTAGCATCATGGTTTGAGTTATATTTTTTGTTTTAATAGGGTTTTATTATTTTTTTAAAAAAATAATATATATGTTATTTATATTTTTATTCTACCACCCAGGACAAGGTCTCAGGATATCTCACAAAATAAAAGCACAGCATAAAGCAGAATTTTCTGGTGATACAATAAGATTGAAACATTTTCTTTCTGTTCCTCAGACTGAGAGAATTGAAAAGGGTTATGAGAGAATGTGCTTTCTTGGGTATATGCTTATCTTTGCTGACGCCTAGATTCAAATACATTTTCCCTCCATAACTAAAAACTAGACTCTGGTGCCATCAACCCTCTATTACACCGTTGGAAAAAAATTTTCAGCTATTTAATGTTAGTGCCGCTTTCCAGGCAATCACTGTATCACTTCTATGGCAGGAGTGGATACCTAGATGGTCTCCAGATGTTTTGAGCTACCACTTTCATATGTTTGAGGTACTATGGTCAATGGCCAGAGATTATTCAGATGTTCACCTGGAAGGCTCTGGATTGGGGGAACTTAACTTTGAAAGACAATGAAATATTTTAGCAAAGTAACATTGCTTGTCAAAAAAAAGAGATACTTCCGGATGATCACTCATCTTATAAGCGACTTCTTACATTACCTGCTGAGTGCCAATGTGGTTAATCTTTCCGATGTTATCACTTGCATTAAAATGTTATGAGAACAACAAAAATAGGTCATATAACTTCTGGGAAGCTGCTTTACAGAAAAGTGTTAAGGACTCAGAATAATAATAATAAATATGTAATATGAAAGAATGAGAAATCACATGGGGTTTACTTTTTAAAAATGTAATATTTTCCCCATTTGCATGTCCTGTAGAATAAAAGGAGATGTCCATATTCTGAATCAAGTCTCTAGGTAAAATGACTGGACCAATGAAATAAGATACTGATAGAGATCTTACAGGTGGATGAATAATGGAATTGGGAAATTGGAAAAGTCACTTATTTTAAATAATTGCATCCCTTTAGAAAGGAAAGGTATATAGTTTCGGGGTGCTACTGGAGGTTCTAAGATAAGTTGCCGTGGCTAACTTGCCACAGAATAATTTGACAAAGGACAATTCAATGTTGTATTAGTAGTTTCATTCAGTTTTATTATCGGTGACCACATTTTCATTAAAATTATTGTAACTCTGGATTTCTGGATTGATTTTCTTTATTTTTTTATTATTGGCCATGGTTCTGTTGAAATTATTGGCTGGCCCTGCAGTGGCAGCTTGAATGGCCCGACTAAAGTTGTGCTCGCTGGTGAATGTTGGTGCGGGGACCTCGGCTGTAGTGCTGCTCCAACCAGCCAGCCCAAGCCCATGCTGGGCTGGCTGCTCCGTCCCCACTGGCGGCTGGGTCATGCTGCACATGGGGCATTGAGTGGCTGCCAGCCACATGGCTCTTTGTCGGTGGCCAGCCCGGAGAGGAAGCACACGGCCTCAGCTCTGTACTCAGGGAAGCAAGGGGGAGTGGCGTGACAGCGGCTTCCCTGCTCAGCCCCGAAAAGTGATGCATGGTGCCTGCACCAGTGTCTCGAGAGAAGCAGAGATCACTGCTTGCAAGCAGATAGGCAGAGGTAGCAAGCATACGCCACACTGTGGGAAAAATGAGAGGCCCTGCTGTCCCGCAGAGCCTGCCGCTGCTTGAAGGGGGGGGCACGAGAACGGCGAGAGTCAGGGAGTAGGTGAGGTGGAGCTGGCTGACTCAGGGCTGCTCAGAAGCCACCCCTGATGCAGCCAGAAGTTTGGGTGCCTCGGCTTCAGATTGCTCCCTCCCTCCCTCACACAAACACACACACACAAAAACAGAGGTTGGAAACTTCTTTTGCTCTCTCTCTCTCTTTCCAAGCGCCCCATGCACAGCCCATTTGAGTAAAGGGCACGCACAGCTGGGTGCACTTGGCTGCAGGAGGAGGCCCGGGTGAAGGCGGCCTTTTTTGCAGCATCCCCCTACCTTCTTTCGATTGCCCTGCAAGGGGGGGCCTCTGCCTTTGCAGAAATGGGGCGGGCGGTTTGTGCGAAGGATTGGCGGGGGGGATGTGCGGCCCTCCAGGATGGAGAGTGGGGCAAGAGAAGGCTCGGGCAGTCAAGCCAGAGAGAAACTCAAAGCGTTGGGGACTTCAGAAGGGCAGAATGTGCTTCAGAATGTGCAGCTCCTGGCTGTAACAGTGAGTGACGTGAAGTTGGCCACGCCCACCTAGTCACATGACCACCAAGCCACGCCCACAGAACCGGTAGGGAAAATTTTTGGATTTCACCACTTCGCCAGATGCACTGTGGGCCAGTAAGCTGTTTCCAGGGCAGCACTGCGGGCCAGACCTAAACAGATTCGGCCAGCGGGCCTTGAGTTTGACACCCCTGCTCTTGAGGAAATATTTCCCAGTTGTCCATGAAGCTCTCTGGAAATGCTTTCTCAGGCTAACCGACATCACAGCACTTCTTCTGTGGAAGAAAGGTGAAATCCTCCTCCCCCAAACCGCAAGACAGTGCCTTAAGCTTTCCAAGAAAATGCAGAATATAAATGCAATAAGTAATAAAACATATCTGAATTTATAGCTTTTAACGTATGTTGTATAACCCCCCAAAATGAAAGTTAATGCATGTTAAATTTTATCATTTTACCTTTAGATATTTGTTTGGCTCACCTGTCTCTGTTTTTTACCAGCAGGTTTTGCTCGACTCCTTCCATTAGGTTTCTAAAGCACTGATGAAGGAACTCTTGCTTTTCAGAAGGCTGGCTGTTTATCAAACTTGCCCTTAATTCACTGAAGTACTGACAAGACAATGGGCAAAATAATACAATAAAAATGACTGAATTTAGCGGATCAGTGATTGTCAAACCCTGACTACAAAGCAGTTCAGTTTGGGGAGAATGATTGCCTAATTTCCACTGCCTTTCAAGACGATACTGTTCTATGGCAGGAAAGATGTCTCAAGATGATTTAATCCAACTTACAGCACTGGGACATTCACATAGATATTTTTCACCTATTAAGCCACATTAAAACAACAGCTTGAGAAAATATGTAGGTCCCTTGTATCTCAGTGCCAACAGGGCAAAAAGGACAAGATTAATGCAGCACAGTCCAGAAAGTGCTAGTTGCATTTAAGTCATACAAAAATCGAAAGATACCAAGTCAGAGGCAGAATTTTAAAAGATGGTTTATGTTACACATTAAATAATAGGAATAGCAGAAGCATTCTTTTTATTTGGTATGTATTTATATCTAAGCACATATAAGATCTACTTATTCCTCATACAACCTCCCTCTGCAGTAGCTTGAGTTAAGAAGGAATGGCCCAAAGGCAGATTCAGCACCCGAATCTCCTCTGTACCAGCCCAATAATAAAACCAGGAGTCTTACCAGGTAACACCAGGGCTGTGGCCTGATATCGAGCTGCGGCTTGTTGGAAAGTGGACTGCGCAAGTGTAAAGCTCCATTTGTGCAAGTGACAAGTGAAACCATCCACTTCCTCCCCCCTCTCGGATCTGCAGAACTGGAAAGGTTGGGGAGCGCTTCACTATAGCACACAGCTACATAGGAACTTTTAGCACTTCTGTTATTTCATTTTATCCCCTGGCATTAGTGACTTCTTGTAATTGTACTTAGTTTAAAAAGAAGAGCAAACATTTACTAATCTGAATCCAGAAATAATATCCTAGAATATTTCTAGATTAGAAATTTTGAAAATTAGTACATGTGCTGTAATAGCAGTAATAACAATTCCGAAAACCAAGCACATCATCAACATGGTGTGCTCCAGTTGAACATAAATTTCCATAATCTAAAGTCAGCAATGTAAATGGAAAAGTTCATTATATAATCTATTGCAGAGTTTCCCCGTCACTGCACATTTTCCAGAAGGAAATCAAGCAATGTACTTTCACAAAAATGCCACTGGCTTGAGAAAGACGTATTTCCAAATAGCATCTAATTTTGCAACGAAACTGAAATAAACTGGCTCCAATTACCATACGGCTGGGTTTTTAAGGAATCATAGCAGTGAATGTTACAAGCATGTAGCATATTTGTTGCTGGTTGTCACCCATATCTTCAATAAATAGATTTCTTAAAATCCTCTGTCCCCGCACTGCATTCTTAAGCCAGGCAAACTCAGAATCTGCTCAGGATTTGTAGATAAATAATGCCCTACAGATACATTTTACAACGAACCTGCTCGATGATCATTAGAATGCAATATTGTTCCAGAAGAAGGAAAACTGTGCTAGTCTCATATTTCTTACTATTCATGATTGCACAGCTATATTTCCTTGTGAAATATTTAATTCCTTCTTACACTAAAGCTGCTAAAATCAAAACCACATAATTAATATAGAGCCAGGCTAATATTTAATACTATAAATCAGAGACATTGGCTAAACAAAAGTGTTGCCAAGAACAAGATTGGGAATGCATAAGACTACTTATTTCCACCTTTTATAATGATGCAGTGACTCAGGGCAGATAGAAAATGATTAGTTTTCCTCCCAAAGTAGGAAATATTGCTTCCATCTGTAAAGGATAATATTGTGATGTCATAAACTTTTTCTAAACACTGAATTTGCCCTTATTCCCTCTCAATCATTTTAAAAGAACTGCTTCTCGTATGGAGCTTGGATTTAAATCACAATAATACACCAAGAAGATGAATGACAGTGCTATTGGATATGGTTAAAATTGGATCCTTCAGCACAGGTGAATGATGAGACGGCGCTTCTATACTTGATATATTTTCTTCTTCTATTAGTTTCCTACCAGAGCTGGGATTTCAGTTTGAATTTTAATGTATGCGGCTGCTGCTAATCTTAGTGTCTTATATTTTCCCAGCACCATCTTATTGTATAGACAATTCATTCTCCAAAGCAGTAATGCACTGCCACTTGTGACTGCCCAAGAGATAAATAGATTTGGAATAAAGTCAGAACTTGCATTGAAGTATGGAGAACACTCCAGGTCAATATCATCAGAAACAATCCCTTAGCATCCACTGCAAGCTTGTACATGTACAGAATAGCTGATATTGTATTGTACTGTACTGAAAGAAACAGGTCTCTTTCTGGTATCCAACTTCGGCTTGAAGTCCAGACGCCAAGTGCAACCCTCGCAAAACTCAATGATATGAAAAATACTGGAGCCATCAAGACTGAGTATCAATGGCTAAAAAACCCCAAACGTTTTAATGGTCACTTGGAAACTTCAGAATTTTTGTTGGGAACTGTTTTCTTTGAGAGGCTCAGGTGCGGGGAGTTGACTGAATACAGGAGAGGATGCTAAAACATTTTGAAAAACACTCATTATATAGGAGAGTCTGAACTATCCCCAGGACAGTAACAAAATGAACTGTACCAAAGGTTTGGGATAAATACATATCAACATCAAAATATTAAAACAGGTTTATGCATACACTGGGTATACAGTGAGCCTGCTTGCTCCATAAAAATAAAGAAAAGGACACTTATTTGCAAAGCAGAAGAGTAAATGAAGAGGCTGCTCTGAGTATGTGAGATCATCTGCAATCTTACGGAACTACTCAACAATCAATATGAAACATTTAAGAGAAAATATTGTGCAATACTGATCAACTATAGCATAGTCACATTAGATCACAATTCCATAACAGAATACTATATGAAAGTATGGGCTGATAGCCAAGTTGCTACTTTACAGGATAATATCAAATTACAAATGATAATTTCTTAAGAAAAATATGCTTTCAATCCTTGATTGAAGATCAAACTTTCCAGCCAGGTCATAATAAATTCAAATTGCTGCTAACCAATCATCTATAGTTCCTCTTTTAATTCTTGCTTATCACGAGTAATTGATTTGTATTATTGGATTTTCCTTCTATCACTGCGGAAGAACAAGACTGTTCTGAGATGCAACATACAACATCTCAGCTTTAGGATTTCTCAAAGGAATTGCTGATTGCCCTCCTCTGTTCTATATAATAACAGGCACTAGGTTGAACCCATCTCAGTTAGAACCTACTTTGACCTCCACTCAGATTTAGGATTGAAACTTTCCAATGGATGATCTTTTACTGAAGATGAATGAGGATGTGCAATCTCCCAGCAGCTCTTAATATAATGGAAATTTTGGTGAGCTACCACAACAATAAAATAATAGAAATAACAGCTATAAAATGAAGACAATGTCTTGTGATGTTCTGTATATGTGGAAATAAATGCTCATAAACCAAGTATCATGATGCTCATCTTAGACAAATCATGTATGTTTCTTTCATATTCAAGGAAGGCAATGGATTCAACAGCTTTTGCAATCAGAACAGGACATCATGAGTTCAAGTTTACACTTTTTGAGCATTTCCATTCAGATGCATTTAAAAGGGGATACGGAATTCAGTTTTGTTTTGTTTTTTAGCAGAATCCAGTGCTAAGTCTACAAGCAGACTTGTGCTATTTGTAGCTATGGGATACTTACTTTTCCATTGAGGAGTATGAGACCCAAGAGTGGTCTTGATACAGACCACTGATTTCTACAATCCTCAAAAATTATAGTATTCATAAGGATGGACATCATCTGAAAGAAAGAAAGAATTTTCTTCAGGAAAAAGTATATGTTGAAATATTTAATATGCTCATTATACATCTTTGACTACAGTGCTGGAATTTTTATTTAGTATGAGGCTTAAAAAAAACAGACAGGAAAGCTCTTCTGGAATATACAAAGTGTTAAAGAGAGAATTCATAGATGAGGAATTGTAAAAAAACTATTATTCCTAAATCAGTCAGTAATCACTTTCTGTTACCCTTAAGATAAATATTTGCACAGCCTATTAGGAGATACCGGATCAATTCTGGGCAGGATGCAGTTAAAGATTTTGAAGGTACTTTTATCATTGTCCATAATTTGCTTTGAAATTTTAAACACCTGCCTCCGAAACAGTACAAAATAAACAAGCAAAGATGGCAGAACACTCACATTGACAGCACAGTACCCTTAGCACAAACAGTAGATAATGCTTAATCAGGTTTAGAGTATTACACTTATAAAATCTGTCCATTAAGCTGTAACATACTACTGTTATAAATAAAGCATCCAACCCAATATCAAACACAAAGAAAATGGGGAAAAATCTTAAATTATTTTTCCAAGGCCAAGAAGTAACAGTGAACTGAGTCCCTAGAGAATTAACCACACACTGCAAGCCAGACTGTAATAACTGCCCAAGAATAAGTCAAACAACATGTTTCACTAAATGAAAAGAGATATTCGGAGCCCTGCAAATCACTCAGAACAAGGAAATTATCAAAGATTACTTGAAACTTCAGCACAAAAAGTACACTGTAGAATAAAAGCAAGGCTTCACTTTATTGCTGCCAGTACATGTGGAGAGCAAGCCCATAGCTTTTGTAAAAAAGCGATACAATGGATCGTGTATGAAATATGCTAAAATGCCTTTTCTCTCTCTCTATATCCCAATATTAAAATAATTTTAATAATTTGTCTATGGGAAAATAAAGACATTTGTACATTATTTTGATATTAAATCTACCGCAAAAGTTCAGATCAAAAAAAAAAATACTTCTTGCTTTTATTTGTATATGAATGCTCTGGCATTCCATCTATTAATTCATCCATTGTGGTGATTTACCTGAAAAAACAACCACCTTGGGAACATCTCTGACTAACTTCTATCACAATATCTTTAAATAGGATATTTTCCCCCAGCAATAATTTGTTTAAATCAGCTCCTTGTTTGGGGACGTAGACTTAACGGTCTCAGATTCTGGCTACATATAGGATATCTTTAGCTTGTTGGACTTCAACATGCTTAGGACCAGTGGTGGGTTGCCCCAGGTTCGCGCCCGTTCTATAGAACCAGTAGTAAAACCAGTGGGAGGCTCTGCCCACCGACCCCAACGTCATCAGAACGCTTCTGCGCATTCACAAAAGAGCGCGCGGCCCCATTGCGAACCGGTAGTAAAGGTAAGTAGAACCCATCCTGCTTAGGATATTTGGCAAAAGGCCTTGTAGATTGTAGATTCTAGGGAAAGTCATTCCATTTTAGCTGTGGTGGAAAATCTAAAAAAGGAGAATAAGCTGTTGGGGGTGGGTGGGGGGGAGAGAGAAAATGATGAAATGATGGTTCTCCTCCTTTCTCTCCGACTGGTCGCAGTCTATGTTGACAGGGGGGCAGAGGTCGACCCCAAGGCCCCTTGTACGTGGGGTGCCACAAGGATCGGTCCTCTCGCCCCTTCTGTTCAACATTTATGTGAAACCGCTGGGCGAGATCATCTGTGGTTTCGGGGTGAAGTACCACCAGTACGCTGACGACACCCAGCTGTACATCTCCACCCCGGATCACCCCAATGATGCCCTTGAAGTGATGTCCCGGTGCCTGGAGGCTGTGTGGATCTGGATGGGGAGAAACAGACTCAAACTCAACCCATCCAAGACCGAGTGGCTGTGGTTTCCAACGTCCCAATATAGTCAGTTGGTGACATCACTGACTATTGGGGGCGAGTCGTTGGCCCCCACGGATAGGGCTCGCAACTTGGGTGTCCTCCTGGACTCACGGCTTTCTTTAGAAGAGCATTTGACAGCTGTGGCCGGGAGGACTTTTTATCAGGTCCGCCTGATTCGCCAGTTGCGTTCCTTTCTGGATCGGGACTCGTTACATACGGTCACTCATGCCCTCGTCACCTCACGCCTGGACTACTGTAATGCTCTCTACATGGGGCTCCCCTTGAGGAGCACCCGGAGGCTCCAGCTGGTCCAGAATGCAGCCGCGCGGGTGGTTATGGGAGCGACGTGGCACTCCCATGTGACTTCCCTCCTGCGCGAGCTGCACTGGCTCCCGGTGGTCTTCCGGGTGCGCTTCAAGGTTTTGGTCACCACCTTTAGAGCGCTCCATGGCTTAGGACCAGGGTACTTACGAGACCGCCTTCTGCCACCAGTAGCCTCTCACCAACCAGTACGCTCCCATAGAGAGGGGCTCCTCAGGGTGCCGTCGGCCAAACAGTGTCGACTGGCGGCCCCCAGGGGGAGAGCCTTCTCGGTGGGGGCACCTGCCATCTGGAATGAGCTCTCCCCGGAGATACGAAGGATCCCAGATTTACGCACGTTCCGCCACGCCCTCAAAACATTTTTATTCCAGCAGGCTGATCTGGCTTGACTCTCCCTTTTAATTTGCTTTTAAGTTTTATACAAATTGGGTGTTTTTAAATTCGTTTTTTGGGCCAAAATTATTTAATATACTTTTAAATGGTTTTTAACTTTTGTATGACGTACTTTTATCTTGTGGCTGTTCACCGCCCTGAGTCCTTCGGGAGTAGGGCGGTATAAAAATAAAATAAAATAAAATAAAATAAAATAAAATAAAATAAAATAAAATAAAATAAAATAAAATAAAATAAAATAAAATAATAAAATAAAATAAAATAAAATAAAATAAAATAAAATAAAATAAAATAAAATAAAATAAAATAAAATAAATAAATTCTTCTCCAGTAAGCCATTTCCTGAAGGGGGCAGCTGGAAGACCAGCTCCAGAAACCCACTGCTTTAGCTAGCCACCTAAACTTCTCTCTGGATCCACTCGATCCAGCTTTGCACTAGACACTGCTAAGAATCAAGCTTCCTTTCACTTGTTATAAATACTTTCAGCCAGCCCAGGTTACAAACTACTCTTAACCAGAAGCAGGAGAAACAAAACTAACCTGCTGACCTTTACGTCTTCCAGGTATTCCTTTTAATTCCCACACAAATGCATGTCACAAAGCCTTGAATCATCACAATTTATATGGAGCCCTGTTGCCACCAGAACCAATGAAACTGGGAATAGTTAAACTGCAAGAGGGACTCATTTGAATCAGAATGCTTGTTTGAGGAGGAGAAAGAAAGAAAGAAAGAATTTAAGAACACAAACCATATAAACCCCCTGGAATTTATGGGGGGGGGGAGTTACTTTGGCCTCTTTATTTTAGTTTCAATGGAACAAAACTAATTCAACTAGGACCTGAAGATTTCCAGATGAAGAAACTTTAAGATTTTTTTCTTCTATGATCCCAATTTACCCTTCTAGCTGAAGTCTCATACAGTGAGATGATACTTTTCTCTCCACTGGTGGATCGCTGAAAAGTGCAAAGGGGTTGGTATGACTTCGAAGATGTTTTCAAAATGTATCTATGTCTTTTGGAAACTGTTGCTCATGCAAATCGAAATGATAAGTCTTCAAAGACCTACGTAACGACAGGAAAGTAACTGGTGCTTACTTTTCAGCATACGTGGGAGAGATTAAGAATTCAACAATTGGAAGTTGTGGTTACCTCTGTCTGGACAGAGTATTGGTCAATTTCATTGCCTATTTTGAAATTTGGATGGTGGCTTCTTAAAGCTGGCTTCATTTCCAGCTGATCGTAGATAAGCAGCGTAAAGTTTGTCTCTGGTATATAGAATTTAGAAGCTGCTTAGTGAAACAGAGTGCTTGTTTCATCCTACGGCATTTTCATTGTTAAAAGAATTTCAGGTCTAGGAAAGAATCTCCACCATTTTCAAAAGATGTTGCTGTTACAGGAAAAAGAGCAGGCAATAGTAGGCAAGGCATCAATGGCTTGAATCTAAAGCAGAACTCATAATCTTCAAAGTCTGCCATTGCTTTTTATATGCAATACTAGCATCCAACGGTCTACGAGATAAATTCCCACTATGATTACCCATGAAATGTAAAATAGTTCTGAATGAATATCTGATTTTGTGTATCAGCATCTAACTTTGCCCGATTTTCTGAAGGGTCCAGTAATGTAGTTTGTTTTGAAAGAAATATATAAATTTAAGAGGAGAACATTACACACAAGAATTGTTTTGCTCCCCTTTATTATGAGCTTAATAAAAAGCTAAATGTGAATTCAAAGATTGCTGCTGGCCTGTGATTTTGACAGGGTGGATAACTAGCCAAGCTAAACTATAAACTGGGTTGTTTTTTTTTAGCTCAGAGAAAATATTAAAAGCAACACAAGGTAGATGCAAAAAAAGACACTAGTCAGATGCTGACCCATTTACTTAGACACCAGCCTCCAAAATAACAGGAATATATAATTGCATAGAAGACTGTGTTGGAGATAAAGCAGAATGCTCACAAAAAGTAAATTTATGTATTTTACATAAATTATGTAAGCAAAATATTTATATCTTTTATTTGAAAATATCCCCAAGACAGAATGTAATAATAAAAATATTCAGGCTAAAATATAAAGCCAGAATAGAAATAAAACCAGGGTAGATTACTGCTATGGGTAAACTTACACATCATAGTAACAGCAGAATAATTTGTCCAGCTGGCCTAAATTCATTTCTATTGGCATCATAATTTGAATTTACCAAGCTTAAATTAGAAATCTGTTTTGAATATTCTTTATAAGTAATATTAAAAAAAAACAAGAAAGAAAAACCAATTATTAAAGAATAAATGTGATTTTAGACTTTAGTTAAAGTCAAAAGTGGGTTTTTAAGAGTCAGGTTAGCTTGGCTACCTGGTGTGTCATGGAGGGTGGGCTATTCCACAAAGGGATGCCCCCTCAGAGGAAAAGTGACAATCCAGATGTTGTAGCAGGCCATTGTTCCAAGTTCGTAATAGCTTCTAGGAAACTAATTAAATTGGATACAAACCTGCAATTTCGGGAAAAATTGTAATCAATGGAGAATATGAACAAAATTTAGAAACAAATGAATGTTTCTGTGTGTATGTACGTACAGGGTTAACATGGAACATTTTAAACCTGAGTTAGCACTCTGATGTTGTTGCTATAAAAGAGGAGGGGAGAAAGATGCAATTGTATGTTGCTTTTCAATATACAAGGTAAGGGAGATAATAACAGAGCTTTCTTTTGCTCCACTTAGACCTTGGAGAGGGAGAGCACATGCCATGTCTAATTTTGAGTATAATATTTTATGAAAGTACCAACAAATTCAAAAAGATTCAGATGAAGGCAACAATGATAAAAGGTTTTTGAATAGTTCACAAGTCAAGAAAACCTGAAGGAAATGAAAAATTTGAATTTATTGCCTGTCTTTTTCATAGGTGAATGATCCAGAATTGAGCATTGCCCTCTGGATTGAACCCTGATGAAAGGTAGGTCTCTTTACTCCAGAAAAAAGGTCAGTTTCTCTGGTAAAATAGATTGAAGCTTTAGATATGTGGGAGAATTGAAGCCAAACATATCATTAGCAAAGTATGAAAGGTAATTTTTTTTTTATTGCAACCACGTAAATAATACCCCAGTGCACCCTATTAACATTGCATTTTATAATCCTTCCAGCCTAATCAGATTACTGTATTTTTAATCACTGTGTATAGATATTCTCATTCCTATCCAGTATGATAGATGTAAAAGCATATCATATGTCAGTAATGGCTAACCTTTTTGCCATCGCGTGCCAGGAGGGGGGGGGGCGGGGGAGGTTGCCCACACCAATTCTATGCACCCTGCCCTGAGCATGCACGCGCAAACACCACCCCCTGCTCCTGGCACGCAATGGCCTGGTAAGCCCGTTTTTCTTTCTTACCTGGTTCCAGATCCTCTCTATTTATCTGGGAAGGGCGAAAACAGCCTTTCTCACTCCCTTGGAGGCCCTCTGGAGGCCTGAAGAGTGCACTCCCTTGGAGGCCCTCCGGAGGCCTCTCTAGGAGTCTCTAGGAGCCCCTCTAGGAGTCTCTGGAGGCTGGGGACAGCAAAAAAGTCACTCCCACCGGGAGTTGGGAAATGGGCCATTTCAGGCCTTTGGAGAGCCTCCGAGGGAGTGGGAAAGGCTGTTTTCGCCTTCCACAGATGCATAGAGAGGATCTGGAGCCAGGTAAGAAAGAAAAATGGGCCTTCCCCATGCCCCCTCCCCAGGCCCTCCGGAGGCAGGAAACAGCCTGTTTCCCTACTTCTGGTGGGCCCAGAAGGCCCGAAAATCAGCTGGCCGGCATGCCATGCACGCCAGAGCTGAGCTGGTGTGCCCACTAATATGGCTATGCGTGCCATCTGTGGCACGCGTGCCATAGGTTTGCAATCACGGTCATATGTCATCTTTCACAATTAGCAAAGAAGTTTATGCTCTTCACCCAAACTATCACTAGCTGAAACAGAAATAAAAATAACAGCTCCTGCAGTGTGGATCCTCATGTACTGATCACCATAAACAAACCTGTCTCAGTAGCAGCCCATATTTATTCCCCCCCTCAGACACACACAGTATTTAGAAACCACCTATCTCCATCACAGAGTGACTCCGATATAGTTTGTGTTACGCATCCAAGAGTAACTTCCTCAAGTTAGACAGGCTAGGCTGTTCACAAACAAGCCTAGGAAAACTCTACTTAGGACCTCAAAAGCGAGCTTGGATAGAGACCCGTATGATATAAATCATTATGAGACAGTTTAATGTGTTCAGCACTCCATTCTTCAATTCCCTATTAGTATATATTAACAATTGTATCAATCACAAACTGCTGCATATAGTTCCCATACATTGTTCACTACCAGGCAACCTTATTTAATCAATTGACACTGGTTGTGGGAAGTTGGAATTACATGCAGTCTAGGACGGAGTCAAAGTAGATTTTGAATGAGGCCCAAATTCAAGGAATTTTCTTTAAAAATTGGTTGAAAGAGACAGGTGTCATTAGCACCTCTACCACAAAAAAATTTATATAATACAGGGAATGTAAGCCCCAGTAGTCACTGGATTAATGTACAGCACTTCAGAAAATAGATGGGACTCAGATGATGTAGTATCAATGTGAGTATCTGATGATGTTTCTATGATCCTAGCAACCAATTTCATACCTGAATTCCATACACAGTAAACAAAATGAAGCACTTCATCTATAGGCAAGTAACAATGGCTTCTGGCAAATATTTCCTGAAACAGATTAATTTGGAATTGACCTGTCCATTAGCTATAAGCTTCTTGGACAAATTAATGCCATTACATGGAATCATCATACACAACACATGGAAACATCGAAGTACTGAAGCAATACTTTGATCATTAAATTGTATGTTAATTTCCACATTTATGTAAAATGTGTAATTCTATATTCTATTGTTTTTGCTATTTTGCACTCAATCCCCTATTCAATCAATCTTGGTCCTTCAAGCCTGAAATCTGTTCAGCTCGGAGCTAAAACATTTCTCTTCTAACCAATACAGGCAAAACCAAACCAAAACAGAACAAAACAAAACCCTCCTGGCAGACTGAAGAAGATCCAATTTCAATCCCTGGCAACTTAAAAAAAAAAAGGGGGGGACATCTCAGGGGTAAAGATATTCCTTTGCCTGAGGCTTTGGAAAGCTGTTGCCTATGTCACAGACAATACTGGGCAAGATGGACCCAACCAAATGTACATATGGAACCATTATTTAATTTAGCACCTTTAATACTCAGGGAAAAAGTCTCACCGTAATCTTTGTCTCATCCATTTGTTTCTAGGGTGTATGAAGATAAAAATGGCACTCCATCTTGCATTACCTTGTACAATTGTAACTTGTCATATAAATAATATCCTTTGTACCAAAGTAGAGAATATTTCTTTGAGGATAATCAAAAATTCTCAGTGTAAATCTTGAGACAGAGCATTATGTCATCTTGAAGTCAAACCAGCTGATAAGAGTTGATTTCAATCAATCAATCAATCACATTTATATACCACCCAGCTCACTATAAATGACTGGTAGATTTACAATAAAAGAGAGCATAAAACAAATGAAAAATATACAAATATTGTTAAAAGATGAAGAGGGAGTCCTCAAGGCACCAGACACCCCAAGGGCTGTATACGACTCTTGGATCCCCATGCTAGTTGGCAGAGCCAGGTCTTAATGCTCTTCCAGAAGGCCAAATGAGGCGGTGTGTGTGTGTATTAAGTTCTGTAAACCACTTTAGATATAAGAAGTCCTTATCTTAAGCAGCACTTTATTTATATTTTCACACATATATGCAGTAGTAAGTGGGAAGGAGTTAGTAAACAATGGGTTCAAAAAGAGTTGCAATTCAGAAGGTTTAGAAAATGCCAGACAGCTATTCTGCAGAAAGCAAATCTATCAATGGAACATAGAGAAGTAGAAGAGAAAAAAACAACAGCAATCACTATCAGTTTCTGTCCTTTCCCCCCAAATTAATGAAAGAACCTCTGGTTTAACAATAGAATGATTTAATGGTGGATTATTTGAATAAGCAAAGGAACAAGGACAAAGTTAGGATGATCCTTAATTTTAAAAAAGACATTTCTCTCATAGAAATGTCACGAAAACTGGAGACAAACTGTCACAAAGAAGAAGTACAATACAATCTGTTACATCTTACGATTTTAAAACAGGAGTAAAAAAACTGAACTCCTCTTTTTAACTTTCAACACTTGCAAGACATTCTTGTAGCTTCAGAGGCCCTCAAAATTAATTAAAAACAACATGTTGTCTACCTCTTTAAAAAAAACATTGCATTTCCATTAAAACAATGCTGTGAAGTTACAAAATCTAGGGCAAAAATGTAAGCTAATATCCCTTTCTGAAATGGAAAAGATATGCTAGAAGAAGGCAATTTAGATCAGAGAAAATAGACAATCCAGCCCTTTTTCCTGTTCACTAATCTGCCATTCCTCAAATAATTTGTTCTAGAATCAGGATCCAAATCTGTATTTTTAAAGAAAAGATCAGTCACTCCTCCACTTTTGAGTATTTGTTTTCTGCAAGAAAGTAATATGAAGAGTATCCTTTGCAAGCAATATATAGTTTGACCTTTTTTCTTTAAACTTCCCATCTTTCCTGCTTCCAAGATGTATTGGAACTGCAGTTCCCAGAATTCCCAATAAAACCATATGAACAGATTGCTTAAAATTATGTTATTACTTTAGCTTTAACTATACTGAAAGGACTGGTCTTGAAAAGAACATGAAAGAACATGGCATTTCTCATCAGTTTTCTTTTAAATTTTTTGTAACATCCAATTCTGGTCTATTCATCTATTTGTTCTGTGTGTGTGCAGAGAATTATCTCTGCTTATCACTTTTTAAAAAATTTTGAATGCAGAAAGCCTAGCATCTGTAATTAAAAGGATGAAAGACTAAGAGATAAAGACTTACTAGAACGACTTAACATTATCTTGACTGAATGAATTACTGTCTATCAACAGCAGGCAATCTTTTTTTGGATCCTCAAATTACATAAGCCAATAGGTCAGAACTACTAACTGGGTCCCCATATACAGACACATACTCCTGCACTCTGGGTGCACATACACACTAAGGCTTTAATCTTTACTCTTCCCACAATGCTGCGTAGTTGAGGTTAAAGTAAGCTTAATGTAACTGAGATGGCTTTTTTCTACTGATATTATCATAGCGAGAAAAGAAAAGGCACAACTGCAAAGTGTTTCTGGCAGTGTAAAGGGAATAGTGAGACTGGCCTTTGTATAACTAAGCAGAAAAGACTGCCAAAACCTGCCCACCTCTGGAAGAGATGGGGGGAAAAAAATATCAGACCAGATATAAGGTAATTATAATTGCACTTCCCAATTATTTTCTTCCTTGATTCAGGAAGACATTTAGAAAATAACGCTCACTTAGTTATGTCTCTCAGTTTACATTATCAAATAATATATAATGGTATTTCTTTACTGATTAAAAAGCTAGTATTCTATCATCTCTTACATTTTATTACAGAAACTACAGTATTGACAGCTGGCAAGCCTTTGAAAGAGCTGAGAAGGTATTAAAGCAAATAGCTGCCTTTAATCTGAAAGTAAATCCAACTGAAATGGGGAGGCAGGAAATAGAAATGTGACTTTCTTAAAAATGATAGCTATAATCCATCTGCTGCACGTACAAATAAGTAGAGAGATAGAACTTAGAGTAAGACAAGACCTAAATGCTGTTGCTGCTGTGTTAGCTCAAGAGAATATTGCTGAGACTTCTTCTTACGAAAGTCAAGAGAGGTGTGCCTGATTGGACCACATGCCTAGGATACAGAATAATAGAGTTGGAAGAGACCTTGGAGGTCTTCTAATCCAACCCTTTGCTAGAGCAGGAGGCCCTATACCATTTCAGATAAATGGTTGTCCAGTCTCTTTTTTGAAAGTTTCCAGTGATGGGGCACCCACAACCTCTGAAGGTAAGCTGTTCTATTGGTTGACTGCTCTCATTGTTAGAAAATTTCTCCTTAGTTCTAAGTTGCTTTATTTTATTTATTTTAGTTCTGGGTTGCTGATTTTGTGTTGCTTCACGATGCTGTTCATTGTGAAGCAACACAAATATCAGAATATTTTTTTTTTTTGCTTTTTTGCTCTTATCTATTCAAGATTCCACTAAAGCTCTTGATGTTTGAGTAAGCAAAGCAACTGACAGATGTTTCCAATCTATCTGTGATTTTTAAGGTGCAGATTTTTCTCCCACAAGGCTGGAATAACTGATGGCAAAACGGATTCAGTGAACAGCCAATTGGGCTGCTGCTTGGCATTCTTCAGCCTGAAAACTCACAGACATCCTTTCCTCATAGTGTACAACATGCCCACATATTGGAGGTTATGATGAACTTGAGGACTTGTTCAAACATTTTTCTCCTTTGGGCAATGCAAGCATAAGCCTTTGTTGAACTTACTCCCAATGTGTCTGCACTGAATTTTCAGGGATTGGAGAGCATTGTGTCTTTGGACATCATGTGATTAATGAGAAGAAGAAAAAAATCATCATCCGTTACAAGTGTCTCTTGAGAGAAGACAAGGTGCAGGCAGCCTATTCTTTTGAAAACCAGCCTATCGTGCCTTTTCTAATAATGGGCTTAGCAGCAGGGTTATAGAAAAGTATGATTTTAGACAACCAATAATTTTGTATCTGTCCCTAAACTTCTGCTGGAACCTCCCTTATCCATTTTACTCCTAACTGGAGACAGAATCTATGTCATCCTTTTTCAGTACATGATAATAGCAAAGGAACTTCTCTACATTTTTCTATTAGAAATTGTTTTAAAGATTATCTTTATCAGGTTGCTGGAACCATAAGTTTTTCAAGATGGTACCTTCCAGGTACTCTGGACTACAGCTCATCATCTGGCTGGGCTGAGGATTAAATGCCGTGCCTTAATTAAGGTACAATATTGTGGAACACATTTTTAAAAACTAGAGTAGGAAGAGAAAGAACGTGGGGATTACTTTTCCTGCCAATCTTGTAAATTCTTACTTTGTAGTGACTCCTATTTGGAATCAATTTTTAAACTTATTCATTTCCTTATATACAACTAAATATTACTAAAAACTATGACGATTAATACAATTTAGCAGATCTGCCTAAGTTTTAAATTTCTTATTGAACAGAGAGGCTTCCAAAGGATCATCATTAAGCAAGGTAGTTTTTAGGAGACATGCTGGAAATTTGCATTCTTCAATGCATCCACTTACAGTATCTTTGCTTTAAAACTGTTTTTAAACACTTTGTTCTAAAACTAGCCCTGTGACCAACTTGCAACTTAAAAGCACATTCTCATAAAATGACTGCTGAGATACTTAATCAGAAAGATGAAATAGAGATGTCATGAAGTTGGCAATCGCACCTACTTATTGCACAATAAAAAGTAATCATAATCTTTTTCATTTCATATAATTCCACATGAATTTGCATAACCACTATCTAACGGAAGAATTTAAATCTTCCTGGATATTTTTTTTTCACTATAACTATTATACTAATGTGCTCATCTTCTTGGAGTCCTCTGATTAGCTGATGTTCATGAAAATGTGTACTAAAGAACAGAATATTGTTCTTCATGGCAAAAAAAGTTGATTAACTTTCTGTGAATTCATATGAAGTGAGCTACTACACAAAGGCTTCTATTTTTGCTGCTCCAATGACAATACAACCCCACAGATACTGAACATAACTCAGCAGCAGGGTCCTCCTCTACACCAGCATGCATAGTTTATGTAATGCAAAAGAAGATACAAGCATGTCACACAAGTTATGGAGTCCTACAGAGCCTTACTCAATAAATACAAGCTAAGATAGCGCTCAACCTTGGGAACATTGAGAAATGTGTGGACACTCACTTCAACATGCTGGCTGGGAAATCCCAGGAGTTGAAGTCCAAACATTTAATGTTCCCAAGGTTGAGAAACAAGTTGGTGAGATATGAGCCACCGTGGTGCAGTGGTTAGAGTGCAGTACTGCAGGCTACTTCTGCTGATTGCCAGCTGCCTATAATTTGGCAGTTCAAATCTCACCAGGCTCAAGGTTGACTCAGCCTTCCATCCTTCCAAGGTGGGTAAAATGAGGACCTAGATTATTGGGGGCAATATGCTGACTCTGTAAACAGTTTAGAGAGGGCTATAAAGCACTATGAAATGGTATATAAGTCTAATTGCTATTGCTATAAACAGAGGAGCAAAAATAGATATGGGTGCTTGTTTTAATTTTAATTTGTCCAGTTTTTTTTTTCTTCCTTCTCTCCTTATTTCCTACACAATAGCCTGTAGGGGATCACACTTGGCAAAGTTCAAAAACCACTCAAAAATATTCATGGGAAATTTGTAGTCTTGGAGACATAGATCACTTATCCCTATTTAAGGGTTCAACAGATTTCACTTTAAACTCTTACTCATTCTGAGAGTGAAAGAGAGACAGGTCGTAGGATGAAATGTAATATAAGAAAGAGTAACTTAAAGACTTGTTTCCATAAATTTAATATAGTTTTTTTTATCAGAAATTGATTATGTATTACCTATATGATGATGTCACCTATACAGAACAGCTCCATTTAAAGCAGAAAAAATATTCAACAATGGTCAGCTAATTAAAACTGTCTAGGAATGAAAGATACAATCTTCCCATGCAATTTGTTTTTCAGACACTGAATATGAAATCTCTTCTATTTTACAAAATAAATAACAATCTTTGTTTTTAGAGGAAGGCAGATAAGTTGTCTGAAAACAGGGGAGTATGATCAACAGCTGAAGTAGAATTCAATTAAGTTCAACTTGCCATTTGGCCACATCCACTGTATTCTGGAGTCAAAATGGAAATAGTTTTGACTGTTTCAAACTTTTCATTATCTTCAGAGGAAAGAAATAAACTTGTAAAAGAAAACCCAGGTTAAAACAAAACAAATTTTGTTTTATGCCAGCCCTATTAGAATTATAATTTCATCAAGAAAACCTATAGAGAAAACTCCCATTACCGAGTTAACAGGAAGGAACTGTATTTCTTAAATTCTTTGCACTTAGTATTCCTCCAAATGTACTATCAAAATCAAGCAGTGCATTATAAATATGCAACAAAGTTACAAATAAGATGCAAACACTAGCATCCTAATGTTTTCATTTAATTACCCTTGAAACGCATTCTATTTAATATTCATTACTCAAAAGCCAATTTAAAAGGGAAAGAGGTGATGGTACTTATTCAGAAAGACATGCTTTCATTCACAGCAATAGTTATCTAATATACGGAAGTTAATAAAGCAGATTAATCTACAAGTCCCTTTAAGCCATCACTGAGTTTAGAACAACTGCCTCTTTGACCTTTAACCCTCCTGCTGTGCACCAGTAGCAGGTGCCAGCTGCGCTAAAATGACGGCTGACGTGGTTGAACGCAAAGGTCTTTTCTTACTTTGCTTCGACCAGCAGTTGACCCTGTAGGAGCAATTATTTCATCTGCGGGCCTAAAGGGTACAAAAAACCAGAAACTGATAAACAAAAAGCATATAGACACCAGCTGTCTAGCCTGAGGGTACACCTCGTCCCATTGACACCTCTAGCAACTTTTTTTTTTTTTGAAAGCCGAATTATACACTTTTTTGTCTCCATCCACATGGACTTTGCCACAGTTGTGAACGTCACTCCTGCTGCCCACAAAACTGTATTGTTAACTGTTTCATATGCTTCATTTAGACAGTAATAGTCCTATCAAAATGATTTAACTCCATGTTTTAAGGGATGCAAATGATTTAAGTAGCTAGAACAGTCCACAAAAAGACTTTGGAATAAAATAGATTATTCTGTAAACCTTTGTGCTCATCATTTAGGTAAGTTGTAATTTTTACCCAAGTTTTTGCATAAGTTCAAAGACATTTGCCTTATATCTGCATCAAAACTTCTGGAAGTATTGTTTTGTATACAGGGTTACTCTATCAAGATGAGTAAGAAATGTAAATTGTTTTAAGTGCAAAAGTAGAGCAATCAATTTATAACAATTTACATGTATTGTCAAGGTTAGTTTCTTTAAAATTATTGATGATATTAAACTATCAATCAATAGCTGAAAAGCTCAAATTAATGTCAAACAATAAAATAAATGGCATTGGGATTGAATTTTAGTTCATTCAATATGGTGCTTTTTCTGGTTCTGTAATCACTCAAATCTCAGCTGATTTGGCCCATAGCTGTTATATTTTTGTTCTTCATTTTTTTTTTTAAAAAAATGATAACACTGGTTTACATAATTAAATCCGATAAAATTGTAAACAGAGATACAATAACCTAAACAAGTAAAAGCTGCCATCCAAAGATTATTAAGCATCCAAAGATGCAACTGACTTTTTGGGTTTTAAGGCTTACAGTATTATGTTTCTTTACTTTAATTTAAATATGTGAAAGTTTACCCACCGATTTCCCCCCATTATCTCAAGTATGAGAATTACATCTTTTTTTCTTAGTCTAAGGAACATCTTTTTGGACTGAGCTTCATGGGAATTCATGGTATAATTTTCTAACCTAACTCCAATGTTGTGTATAGTAATATTAAAAAGCAGGGAGAACATCCCCAACTTAG